TTTCTGCTGGGCGAGGTCTCCCGAAGCGAGTATGGGTGGTGTCAGTTCAGTGTAAGCCTGAACCGGCAGGACGGTCGTGCGAGCGAAAGTCCACTGCACTTATAAAAAAAAACCCTAAACTCCTATACCCTAAACCCCTACAACTCTGAAGCCCCTAAGCCGTTTGTGCGCAGGCGCTCTTGCAGAAACTCCTCGGGGAAGGCCTGGACAGGGTTAAGGGTTTAAGGGCACGACAGGGTTTAAGGCTGTTTAAGGTTTAGGATTTAGGGTCAAAGGTTTCTGGGTTCTTGATAAGAAATTTACATTGAGGTTTATAGTAAATAATAGGGTTTCCTTATGAAAGTAATTCAAGCTAAATCCTCCAACAACAGCCCAGGTTTAAGGGTTTTGTTTCAACCCCTAAAGCCCTACCCGAAAGCCTAGACACAGAGAGAGTTCGAGAAGCTCAATGAGGGAGTTTTCAAGCCGAAATGTCCCCTAAACCCTAATTCCTATAAACCCTAAACCCTTCACTGATTTGTAGATTTATGCCTTTGGGAACGGATCGCTTAATTTCCTATACCGAGCCCGAAGTCTCCAACCCCGGCACATTGAACCGTCCTCTCTGACCATCAACCTCGAAGCCCCGACCTTGAGCCCTAAACCTTGTATAGGTAGGTCCTCGAAGGTTGGACCCACCAAAGACTACATCACTCTCGCTGGGATCTGAAGAAAGACCCTAAACCGCCCTAAACCCTAAAACCCTAAACCCTAACACCGAACCCGATAGTAACGCTAAGCCCTGGCCCCAAACCTATATTAACCCTGAGCCCTAAACCCTATATTCACCCTAGGCCCTGAACCCTTGAACCCAACCCTCAAACCCTAAACCCTAAACCCTAAAATTAGAGCACGCCGGACTAGCTGAGGTGCGACCTTCCGCGCAGGTCAGCAGGAGGTGGTCGAGAAGCTCATGGCAGGCGAGGGAGTACCTATCGTCTCCATAATTACTGAGGCCTTAAATGGGTTTAGGGTTTAGGGGCTAGGGCCTGGGGTCGAGAGTTTCGGTTTTAGGCCTTAAAGGGGCTACAATATAGGTACTCTAAGGCCTAAGCAGGTACTATAGATACTGTACTCTAGCTTCCCGTCTGGTGTCCACAGCTTAGGCCTTAAAGGGGTTCTGCTTTCCCCAAGGTGGTGTTGAAGCCGATGAGAATGACTTGTAGCTCCGTCGGCGGTGCTGTGTCCTTCAACAATGGGAACCAGGCTCCCGGACGGATTTGCCCTAAACCCTAAATCCTAAACCCTAGACCCTAGCCCTAGACCCTAAAAACCCTAAACCAAGACTTGCCGCACAACAAGGCAACGACAGTTTGCTTTCGACTTTGTAGCTAAGTAAGCCCAATATCCCTAATCCCTAGACCCTGAATCATCTTGAATCCATCATGTATTATAATTTGGTGGCCACTGACCTGAGGGTCTTCAAGCACGGCAGACCCGGTTTAGAACACCCTGAAGTATCAATCCAAAGTTAAGCTTGGAAAGCAGGCCAAGACGTGCTCTACGTCTTCCCCACAGGGGCCGGCAAGTCCCTTTGCCGCTTGCTGCGCCAGATGATTTCGGTTTGCAGGGTTCGGTTGTAGGGTTTAGAGTTTATAAGGTTCAGGGCTTAGGGAATGATAGGGTCTTGTGATGCCATGCAGGCTTCGGGATTTGGGAAATTGGGGGCTGTTGGCTGGAGGTGTTCGGGAGTCTCGGGCTAAATCTGTACCTTTCTTGGATACTTCCCCCTTTCAGTAACAGTTGAGTAATATTCATAGTATGGATACATAAGGCCCATAGTAGTAGCTCTATTACAGGCTGTTACTGTATGTGGGGGCAGTACCTAAGCCAAGGATGATTAAGAGCTTCGACCCCGTCGAGGGCGTGGGCTTCTGCGGGTCTTGACAGGGAGTTGATCCATTTCAGGCTCCGTGGGGTCCGTAGCGTTTGAAAGCTCACGGTTGAGGTTTGTGCTTTGGGCTTCCGTTGTGCCCCATCAATATCATTGCCAGGCATGCAACCTGCTGAACTACAGATCCGATAACCATTAATCATTAATTCCCGAATAGACCTTGGACTGCAATAGTCAGAATCCCAGGTATTTGTGTGTGTGTGTGTTTGTTTTTTTCGGTGGATCCGATAGCTGCAGGCTGCTACAGACTGTAGGGTGTTGACTCCAAGAACCTGAGAGAACCCTTCCAAAAGCGGATATCCGGGATTTCTACGCCTTACAGAGCCTGATGGACACCTGAAATTCCCTGGGCTCTCCCTGCCTCCCATGAACCCTCAATCCCGACCTGCACGCATTGAAAGCCCAAAAATCCGAGCCCATCACAAAACTTCGAGGATCCCGACAGACCCCCTACTGCCCTGCAAAGCCAAGAAATCATACAAAACCCATCCTCATGTTTTGGTTTTGGGGGGCTTAGGGCCCAAACCGTCCCTAAGCCCTATAAACCCTGTCTAAGTTTTCTATCTATGCCCGAAGCCCTGTCTAGTTCTTAGACCCCATAAGCCCTCCCCTGTAAGTGGCTCTCTGGCTCCAGGCTATCAACTGCCAGCTCTGGCCGCGTCCGAGGAGAAGCCGCCTGGCGAGGGAAGGGAGGCATTATATTATACCTGGACCCACGAAATTTTGTAGAATAATAGCCCTTTATGGATATGAGGCCATGGTTTTAGCTACTTTGGGGGGGCTTGGGTAGGGTTTAGGGTTTAAGGCTGCTTTTTATTCGGGCGACTAGGAGGGGTCCTGTAAAGGGCCAGGGGATCCCTTCAAGGTTTCTGTCGGGTCTGACCGTGGGTGGCATTGTGAGGGTTGACATCGGGCTGTCGAGTCTTCTTGCAGGGTTCTGACGGGCTTTCTGTGGTCATAAAAGGCTTTCTAGCGGTCTTGTCCCTCCTGTATAGGGACTATTTTAAGCCCAAAGTATATACTATTTGGGTGCATGGACCCTTAGGGTTATAGGGTCTGACACGTTTTGAATTAATTGTGTATGTTGTAGGAATGGCTAGTGTTCCTACGTACACCGTGCTGACGGGTGTTATGGGGCTATGCAGGCCGAACTCCATTTAAAAATGGTATGGTGACATCGTAGACCAAATGTTCCTTCACCTTCAAAGGCCTCAAAACCGATCACCGCAACCCTAGACTCAATACACCTCCCAGGGGCGTCATGAGGCTTAAAGTCTTAAAGGGTTCAGGCCGATTTTTTATAAATGCCGATGAAGCCCTTTAACACTTGAAGTTTCAACAAGCCGGAATGCTTGCAAACCCACCGCAAAACGCTCAACCCCAAAACCAAAACCCACAAACCCGTACAGTCCTAAACCCTAAGCCTTTGACAGAAGACCCCGCCCCTAAACCCTAAACCCTGAGCCCTAAACCCTAAACCCTATAGACCCCTTAAAGGAACCCCTTAAAGGAATCCCTTAAAGGAACCCCATTCCTAAAGATATTTAGCCCCAGATTCGGCCTTGTGGTCTCGCCTCTGATTGCCCTGATGAAGGACCAGGCCCTCGGATCCCAAAAGACTACAAGTAGGGTTTAGGACGATTAGGGTTTAGGGTTACGATGGGTTTAGGTTTTAGGTAGTTCCTTTTTGGGGTTATAGGGTTGTATGATTTAGGGTTTAGGGTTTCGGGGCCTACTTGGAGGTTCAGGGGTACTAAAAAGTGGGGTTATAAGTAGGGGAACTATAGTTATAACCCATATTCGCGGATTGAGGACTGGGTGTAGGGCTTAGGGTTAGATTAGATGGGTTTGGGGTTTTAGGGTCCGGGCTTAGGGTTAGATGGGTTTGGGGTTTAGGGTCACGATAGGTTTAGGGTTTAATAGGGCTTAGGGTTAGATAGGTTTGGGGGTTTAGGGTTACGAGAGGTGTAGGGTTTAGGGCTTAGGGTTAGATGGGTTTGGGGTTTAGGGTTACGACAGGTTTAGGGTTGAGGGCTTAGGGTTTGGATGGGTTAAGGTTTAGACGGTCTTAGGGTTTAGGGAAATCGTAGCAATAGAACGAAACATGGCAACAATAGCTAGCGAACAAGAAGAACCAGGGAAGAGACAGAGATCGAAGACACGGGCACGGTCGTTCCTTTCTTTCGCTGTTTGAGGGTTTCGGGCATGGATGGAGCTCATGACGCACCTCAAGCACCCTAACTTGCATGCTCTACGATCTGCACTTGGAGGTTCATGGGTAGCTATCACTGGGGGGTATAAGTCCCCTAATAAGGGTGCTAACTATAGCTACAGCTATCCTACTTGTAACTCCGCTTATAACCACCCACGAACCTCCAAGCAAGTCTGAGGGTTGCCAGACCCCGGACTTCCAACCTGAGCTTTATGGGTTGAGGGTTTAGGGGGTTTAGGGGGTTTAGGGGGTGTAGGGGTTTATAAGGGTTTGGGGGGTTTAAGGTTTCAAGTTTTTTTACGGGTTTACGGTTTAGGGTTCTGAAGCCAATGGCAAGGATTTTTTGAAGTTGAGGATTCGGGTGCTATTTGGTTGGACCTTTGGGTCTAGGGAGTCTAGGGTTGTTGAGTGCACTTTTCCACCTTGGGATGACAGTTTAAGTTAGGAATGATATGTCTTCATCTTTAGGTTTTTGTACATTTCCGTGGTGTTCTGCGTCCTGGTGCACGTTTACAGTACGGAGGCTGCATCCCAATGCTCAGTCCCACAGCTATTTCCGCAATATCGAAGCCTGAACAGGCACCAATAGTGTTCCTTGGAGTTGAGTGAAGTATGTACAGTACTTATACCGTTATACTGCATATTATCGATCCCTACCACCCACTATGTACGTATATGGGCTCGGAGGGTCAGCTGCAACGCCTCTACTGTTTAGGCTGTAGGGTTCAGGGTTTAGGGGTTTAGGATGTAGGTTCTTCTTGAATTGACTGCGAAACATGTGAGAGTCTGCAGGGGATTGCTATCTCATAGGTTGGGCTGAGGGCTGAAGAGTGATGGCTGTTGCTCCTTGATGGTATGTCTGTGACTCTCCATGTGAGTCTTATCAGTGGACGAGCGGCTTCCTTGGAACTTCGACTGGATGCTTCTATTTCTGTTTTGAAGCAGCGTGTGCAGAGTGCCCTGGCTGTCGGTGGAGGAAAACTGCTCGACCAGCGGGGGGTCGTGTTGCACGGAGCCGCGACCATTGAAGACAGTGGTTTACGAGAAGGTGACGCGCTGACATTTCATGTTGGACAGGTTCGCATATCAGCCTGTAGCGCCGCTGCCGCGGCCATCCTAGAAGACGGTTCGGTCATGAGTTGGGGCGACGCTGAGTTTGGCGGTGATAGCAGCGCGGTTTGTAGCCAGCTACAGAACGTAGTAAACATCCAAGCTGCAAGTGATGCGTTTGCTGCAATCCTCGCGGACGGATCTGTTGTTTCTTGGGGCGATGAGGACGGTGGGGGCGACTGCAGTGCCGTGCAGCACCAACTCAAGAACGTCCAGAAGATCCAAGCCTCCCTCAACGCATTTGCTGCAATTCTGGATGACGGATCTGTGGTGACTTGGGGGAATCCTGAATTTGGCGGTGACAGTCGTCATGTGCAGGAGCAGCTGCAGAATGTGTCCCAAGTTCAAGCCAACGAGAGGGCCTTTGCCGCAATCGCAGGAGATGGTTCCGTGGTGACCTGGGGCGATGTCGACTATGGAGGCAGCACCGCAGGTTCTGTGAAGATTCAATTGAAGAGCGTTCAACGCATCCAAGCTTCTGAGAGCGCGTTTGCTGCGATTCTCTACGATGGAACTGTGGCGACATGGGGGGATGTGTGGCACGGAGGCGATTGCAGTTTCGTGCAAGAGCAGCTGTACGGAGTGCAGCGAATTCAGGCCGGTAGTTGTGCCTTTGCTGCCATTCTGGAGGATGGATCCGTCGTCACTTGGGGTGACATGGAGTATGGAGCTGACAGTAGCGCTGTTCAAAGCCTGTTGCAGGACGTGCAAGAGATCCAAGCTTCGCACACAGCCTTTGCTGCGATCCTCGGTGACAGGTCAGTTGTGACGTGGGGTTCCAGTGACCGTGGCGGTGACTGCTCTGCCGTCCAAGAACAGCTTCATGATGTTCAGTGCATCCAAACTACGGGCCATGCCTTTGCTGCTCTTCGTGTCGATGGGTCTGTGGTGACGTGGGGCCATGCTCAAAAAGGTGGCGACAGCAGTGCTGCACAAGATCAACTCACCAAGGTTCAGCAGCTCCAAGCTTCTGAAGGGGCTTTTGCCGCGATCCTGGAAGACCGATCCGTCGTTGCTTGGGGACTTGCAGATTACGGTGGTGACGACTCAGAGCTCTACGACTTGCAGGACGTGGAGCAACTCCAAGCGTGCGAAAGAGGATTCGCTGCTGTCCGGGGCGACGGCTGCATTGTCACTTGGGGGGACCCCGTCTGCGGAAGACCGGAATAAACTGTCCAGGGTTTACCTGTGGATCCGAAACCGCATTGTTTTCAGGGTTAGACTCTACAGACTAGAGACCCTATAACTACTTAAAGTTTTCAGGGCCAGAACCTACTAGTTCGTAGGCTTTGGGGCTAGTTTGTATATTGTTTTTATAGGTTAGACCCTATACTTCAGGGGTGATAACAGTCATAACCTACTGGTTTCTAGCAGTTGGCGCTAGATTGCATGGACCACCTGAGGGATTGGCTTGGACCTGGCCCCAGGCCCTTTGAAACCTGCATATGCCACACCTTTCCTCCGTAGTTTTCACATGTGGACCATAACTGTCTATATGTATATGTATATATAGATAGATAGATAGATAGATAGATAGATAGATAGATAGATAGAGTAATTATTAGGACCATAAGAATTGAATATTCGTATCATTATCAATATTGTCATTATTGTTATTATTATTATTAGTAGTAGCATTATTAGTATTATTATTAGTATTGTTAAAGTTATAATTGTTCTTCTTAAAATTTGATTATCATTGTTGTTATTATTGTCGTCGTCGTAGTAGTAGTAGTAGTAGTAGTAACAGCAGCAGCAGGAGTAGTAGTAGTAGTAGTAGTAGTAGTAGTAGTAGCAGCAGCAGCAGCAATCGTCGTAGTCATAGTTGTAGTCGTAGTTGTACGCGTAGTCGTAGTCGTAGTCGAGTGGCAGTCGCAGTCGCAGTCGTCGTAGTCGTATTCGTAGTCGTAGTCGTNNGTCGTAGTCGTAGTCGTCGTCGTATTTGCAAAGACCCCAACTTGGCGCAGGTTCGCCACCTTTCGGCTCGCGGACTCACCGCAGTGGCGCTCCACTCGGAGCTGCCGGCGGCGGAGAAGGAGGCGTTCAAAAAGGGTTCTAGGGTTTTAGGGTTTA